GTTCCCAAAACAACTGAGATTGCTTAGAATGACATGGGTATGACAAAACAGAAGGAGGCGTGGATGGGGCCAGGGTCCCCCAAGAACTAGGAGATAAAGGCCATGTCTGTCCTCTGAGTGGGGAAAGCATCCTCCTGCTATGGGATCCTAACAGCATCATTGGTATAAACACACTTAGGACAATGCAGAGGGATGACCGATGTGGTGCAGTTCTTTCAGAAAAGCACATTTTAGCAGTGCCTGGTTCTGCAGAGCAGGAGAAGATAGTGAGAAGCAAAAGCATCCTTGTCACCAGAAAAAAGTCCTCAACTGGACAATGAGAGTCTTTCAGTGACATTACTGTTGTGTGGATGAAACACCCTTCATGGTATTTATTTCCCTTTGCCTTAATTCTGTGTTCCCTCTACCAAGCCCATTACTGTGCTGGCGTCCCAGATGTCTTACTACCAGGAAGGAGTTTTCCGTGGATCAGGGACCGGGGCATTCTGGTTACTGGAAAGGGATTGTTGCCATTCTAAGTCAGTTAGTGTTCTGATAAATGCGTAAGGCAGCAGTCTGACATCATGTAGGCTAATTGGTAAGTCCAGTTTCTAATGCGACTCAGATAGGGACCCGGCCCTGTCCCCACACCCCTCATCTAAAGATTCGGCCTCAGTGTTAACACTTCTCTCCATTAAAACTTCAAAGAGTGTGATTCAATCAGTACATTTTGCCAGGAGCTTCCCAGCAGCCAAGGGGAAAACCTGGTAATTAATCTGATTACCTGATAAAAGGATCCTTTGGAAACCAGTAGTAGAAAAATATTAAAATCTCATTTTCATTGATCATCTAGATTTTAGGGAGAAAAAAGCTTGTGAATAACAATTTTACATGGTTTCATTGAAGGAAGAGCAGATTTTTCAGAATAGATTTTAGAAGATGAAACACTTGTTAGCCTTAAGCCCAGAGCTATTCCTATCAGAGTAAGTGGTTTCAAATTTATGTAAGTATCTAGAAAACTTAACCTTGGAATATGATCTAGGGGATGTTAGCACACAAAAGTTGCGATCCAAAAATGTGTTTAACATCAGTTGTTCAAAACAGAAAATATTTCCCATGGAAACAGTAATCTTAAAATTGTGGGAATTCCTGGGGGAAGCCCAGAAAATCCTAGTTGACCCCAAATGTAGCTACAATGGTGCTAATAGTAACCGTTATCAAATGCCACGTGTTGGTCCCTGGACCTTGAGCCAGGCTCCTGCAGACACTTTCCCAGCCTGGGGCTGGCACGGACCCCTCTCTCTCAGAACCGGGTCTCGGTGTTCAGACTCCAGTCAGGGTATCTCCTCACAGGGTCCCAGACAGAACATTGAACCAGGACTCAAAGACCAGCCTCCCTCACGGCCCTCCATCTTTCAGGAAGCAGCCCCTTTAAGCCTCAGAAATCACACCTGAAGGTGCTGATAAGCCCCACCATTCAGGAAATGTGTGTGGGGGGAGGAGAAGGGGGGACAGTGCCTCTGGAAATGAGCCCCCTCAGTTTCAGGGGACTCATGTTCTGGGTTGCTAAGAATTGAATTACGAATAAAACTTGGAATTATAATTGTTGGAGCTTCCTTTCCTGTATTTTTACTGTGTTCTGTGTTGGGTTGTTTTCCTCTTATGCTCAGCTCTGGTTGGTAGCTGTCGACTAGGCCCTTATGTCCTTGGCTGTCACGGGAAATTCAGTGTTTCCGAGAGCTTCAAATGCATGGTCTTGCCTTCATGTTTCTCTTACACTTTTTCAGAATTTTATTCAAATCTCTCCTCGGTTTACTCTCCTCCCTTCTCCAACAAACATCTCTTCTTCCATGCTACTCTTTCTTTAAAAATCTGCTTTCCTTGAAGACTCAGAGCAGCACTAGCCTGTAGAATGTGCCAGTGCAAAGAGTCTACTTCTGTGGGCTCCCACAAGCGGCCACCCCAACGTGTAGCTCCGGGGCCCTGAGATGTGGGGTGCAGAAACGGAATTTTAATTTCACTGAATGTTAATGCACTTAAATTACAATAGCCACACAGGGCAAGTGACTACCCAATAACGCAAGGACATTTTCATTGGTTCCCACACTGGAGTTGAATCTGACATTGGAATTGAATGTGCACGTGTGCACGCGCGCGCGTGTGTGTCTGTCAGCAGCTTCCTGGTGTCCGTTTTCATTTAAATTCTCTTGAGTGGGAAATAAGCAGCCTTTGCCCCATGATCAAGGCTGAAAAGAAGCAGACTGAGTTTCCTCTTGATCTTGGACAGGCAAGACAATGTCCACCTGGCTATAAGGTGATACCGTCACTGCTGCTGGGGGTCAGCCAATCAGCCCTGCCCCACATTAAAAAACCTTCTTTACACCAACCACCCCTGCCAGCCACCGCCGCACTTCTTTGTTCTGTAAAACAATACCCACTGGAAGCGTTCTCCACACTCGCTGCTTCCGCCGCTCTGGATCCTGCACGGGAACCCCTCCCCCAGGCTCCCCTCACATCCCCGCCTCAACAGCAAGCCGAGGTCCACAGGGGACCCATGTTGCCCAGTCCTGCATTCACTTCCCCGACGTGCTGTCACACTTGCTCACTTTCTCCCAGAAACGCTTCCTCCTCTCGGTTTCTGGGCCACCAGTTACCTG